TCCTATTAAATTGGCACAGGTTTTCAAAAACCTTGCCTCTACTCAGTGTTTGCAGTAGAGAACTGTGTCCATTCTTCCACAACTATTAGAAGTGGTGTGCTTTGAGTCATGCGATTGGACTTTCAGGTCCTTTAAGATGTTAATATCATTTCACTCCGTGAATCTATGTATATGGCCGGTTACAGAAAGAGCACGTGACAACTTATAATCCCAAGAGGAAAATTAAATCTTCAATGTCCTTGACTTGGTAATTGCCAAGCGAATTGTGAAACATCACGATTTAAAATACCTCCAACTTTTAATAAAATCGCATTTGGAAGATAATTTAGACAAAAGCAAATGCTTTTATTTTATTTTAGTAAGTGTTTAAAAGCAGGGGACAAACCGTTTGAACCGGATGATCCGAATTCTTGGAGCACCAGCACACGCTCACACTCATGCGCACACTGACAACACACAGAGGAGACACATCAAGATGTTAACCGTGGCTATTTCTGGCTGCTGTATGCCGGGGTGAGGGGTACTTTTATTTCCAACTCTATAATGTCTTTTATTTCCTTTGCTGTTGTTGTTGTTGTTAATCCTCACACAGAGGATATTTTCCCATTGACTTTTAGACAGAGTGGAAGGCAGGGGGAGAGACACACAGAGAGAAACATCGATGTGAGAGAGACACATGGATCGGCTGCCTCCTGCATGCACCCCAGCCAGGGCCAGGGATCAAACCTGCAACCGAGGTATGTGCCCTTGACCAGAATGGAACCTGGGACCCTTCAGTCAAGCGTCTCCACAGAGCGCCCATCCCAAGTGCAAACCAGGGTTTGTTTTCCATTTTTAACGTGCAGGTATTACTTTTATAGTCAGACAGAAGCCATAGGATACATGGAAGGGCTTCTCTCTTCCTCATGCCATTGAAAATGAGGGAGTTACCTGCTGCTGGGGCTCATCCACCTGAGACACCCACCGAGGAGATAATGGAGCCGGCCTGTCCCACAAGGGCCCCGCCTTGCGCGGTTGATGTGGGTGTGTCTTTAACCACGCATCAGGTCAAGGGCAGCGTCCTTGAAGGATCAGCGTCCGGAAGAGCCTGGGAAGAGGTCTCTCACTGCATCCTTGCAAACATGCCCTGTGGCTCCATGGGTTCCAGCAGGGGTGGCAGCACGCAGCTTCCCAGACAGCAAGCGTCTCCACAGAGCGCCCATCCCAAGTGCAGTGGTCTGTCCCCACCGAAGACTGGGTGTCCGGGTGCTGGTGATGCGGACAGAGTCAGAAGTCAAGTGTCACCGAAGCCAGCCAGTCCTGGTCCGGAACCAGTCGGCTCCCCGGAACCCATCCTGTGACGTCGCCCTCAAACGGGGCGCCTGGTACCCAGAGATCTGGAGTCATAGGCTGCACAGAGAAGTCTTTGGGGACCCCCAGCATTGCTTAGCGCGTTGGGGGAGACACACTGCTTGTCTGCGATGGAAAAGCAGCCGTCTTAGCAGAAGATGCAGCTGTGTCTGAGTCTCAGAGCTGCCGGAGGCCCCTGGGGCCTTTCAGGCTGGTGGGGGTCAGCCTGGGCTCTGCCCTGTGGTCTGTGGATATGTCGGCGCTTAATTCCGGTTCCAGAGAAAACTACGAGGGATCCCAGAGGCGCCGGACATCAGGCCATCTGGGAGAAGTCAGAAAACACCGGAGCATGGAAAACGCTCACTCAGCCTCCCCCAGCAAGTGGCTTAAAATTCTGCTGTGAGAGAAGGATTCTGATGCCAGTCTGCCCGGGTTCCAAACGGCCCTGCCACTCGCCAGCTGTGTGCTAGCTGTGGGCACTTGAGTGCATCACATCAGTGGCAACTTCCGTGCTGGCGGTACCCACTGCTCTCATGGATAATCCCCACAAGACGCCGCTCCGGACAGGAGGGAGGCGGCTGCCCCCCCAGAAGAACCGGGTGAGCAGCTCCCCGGTGATGCCTTGTATTTTGTCTGTATCACACGTACCTCAAGGCGCCATTTGTATGAAAATCGGTTGTGTCTCCAGACCCAGTGGTAAATTATTCAGGCATCACCTAAAATTGAGAGACTGCCTAGATAAGGAAAAACTTAAATGAGGGTTGTGTTTACCAACACAACTTACATCATTTTAAAAAATGAGGAATTTATGGCTGGTGATCTTCCCCCCCTCCCCTTGAATTTAAGGGTGACATTCCACAACGTCATGAATCAATTCCACGCAAGGTGACAGTTCTAAGTCACAGATGTGATACAGATTCTTTATACTAGTGCCGAGATGGGGCCGGGAAATGACAAAGAAGATGTCGGAATTCCATAAAAGCGGACTTGGGAAATTAGGGCTATCGCCTCACTTTCATCTCATTGGAAGTTTCCAGATGTTGGAAAGCAGCAGTCTCTAGAGCAGATACGACGTGAACCACATGTAGAATTTAAAATGTCCTGGTACTCATATTTCAAAAGGTATAACAAGCCAGGCTGCGTGGCTCAGTGGTTGAGCATTGACCTATAAACCAGGAGGTCACGGTTTGGTTCCCAGTCAGGGCACATGCCCAGGTTGCGGGGTGTAGTCCCAGTGTGGGGCGTGCAGGAGGCAGCCGATCAATGATTCTCTCTCATCATTGATGTTTCTCTCTCTCTCTCTCTCCCCCTTCCTTTCTGAAATCAAAAAAAAAATATTTTTAAAAAAGACATAACAAAACAGGTGAAATCCATTTTAGTCATTTATTTAGCCCAATATCCAGACCATTATCACTTCACCATGTCATCAATATAAAATTATCAATGAGACACTTACCCTTTCTTTGGTTTTGTTCTTGAAACCCAGTGTGTGTTACACCCGGAGCACATCCCGGTGCCATGAGCCACAGGTCAGGGCTCAGTAGCCACACGTGGCCAATCTCTCCTGGGGGAACAGGGTAGCATGAGAAGGTAAGTTTATCTGTGGAGCTCTCAACAATTTCTCTGTGAGTGCATTTTAGAGAAACCGCTCAACCAGGAGTTTAAATAAGCATTTCAAAGAAATGTACTCAGTGCCCATTCTGTGAGCACATTGAATTCAAATGTGACCTCTCTCTGGCCAAGGTCTTATAAGAGCCCGCTGCCCCGCCCCCATCCCCGCCCCCTTCGTGTTGCTGAGGCCAGTGGAGGTTTCAGTAAGTGAGCGTGCCAGCCACTGGCAGAGGCTCCGTGCATAGGGCTCAGGTGGGTGCCAAGGCGAGTCCCCCAGTCGCCTGGGTGGCCAGGTGTCTCAGAGGGGAGGGGCCCACCTGCAGGGCCTGGGGTCAGACACAGCGTCCTGGTGCTGGCATGGTCCCCAGGCCTGCCTGGTGCTGGCATGGTCCCCGGGCCTGCCTGGTGCTGGCATGGTCCCCGGACCTGCCTGAAGTTCCTTAACCCTCCCTGGATTGTTGTCTTTGGCAGCAAACAGGTACGCATGGCTGTCAGGAGGTTCCTCGGGACAAAATGTGCCGACACAGCTCTTTGCAAGTTTGGCCCTGGAGGAGGTAGACGGTGATGATAAACAAAAGGGCAGCGCAGGCCCAGCGCGGAGCTCGCTGCCGAGGGAAGCACAGGGTTAATCGCTGTTTTGCTTAAAACATTGATTTTTATAAGTAATCCTTATGGGACAGCATCTCTGGCGTATCTCTTAGCTGGCTTAGCAGTTTTCTGATTTTCTCTCTGGCTGGACCCCTCTTATCTCACTGCTATTTACCCAACTCAGGGATTCTCTGCTGTCCTCTGGGGAAAGTGAGTTATGCTAATTATTTATCCTTTGGCACAATTTATTGAGTGCCTGCTCCTCTTCCAAGAGTCAGCTCAAGAGGCTCTGGGGGTGGGGGTGGGGCCGGCTGGCATCCCAGGGTGCCCTTGCGCCTGGCTGGCTCCGTGGGCAGCTCGGACCTGCGGCATTTATCGTTTGCATCACGCTTCCTGCGGCATCGTCGTCTTTCTGGCCAAGCCTGTGCAGACGGGTGAGCAGAGGTGCTAGCGAGATGCCTGACCGTGGAAGGGAAATGCCAGGTTAAAAGTTGTGAACTGTATTAAGATTTTTTTCACTGCACAATTAATTTTATTGTCCTTTGAGAATGATAGCTCAATTTATTGCTAACAGGTATTATGGAATTTTTATTTATTTATATTTTAGATCATACTGTCTTTTCTTTTTTAAATTTTATTTTTATTGTCTAAAGCTTTACATATGTCTCCTTTTTCCCCAATTGACTGACCGCCCCCCCCCGGAGCCATTTCCACCCTGGGCAAGCCCCCACCGTGTCTGTGTCCATTGGTTATGATAATATGCATGCATAAAAGTCCTTTGGTTGCTCTCTCCCCGAACACATTTCCAGATTGCTTTCCAGAGCTGAGCAAACGAGACTTCCACCGTCAATATAAGCTGGTGCCTACAAAGTGTTTCTCAGAAACCAGTTATTCTAGGCACTGAGGGTCCCTTTTTTATTTTTTTAAGCTTTACAGAGAAAGCAGAGAAGTCGGCTTTCGCATTCTCCTGTGATGCCGAATAATCCAAGCTGGATCTGTATTTGCAGCCCGACCCCTCGCAAGGAGCTGCCAGGCCGAGAGGGGTGGGGCCTCCCCATGGTGGTGGCCAGTTGGGTGGCAGCCATGTGCCCAGGGCCCTCTCTGCCCCAGCACACCTCCCCTCTCCACCCTCCTCACCTCCCCCACCCCCACTGCTTGTGCTGGTCCCTGGGCCCCCTCAGCTCCTGCTCCCAGCATCACCTCTGACTTTGCACGGCCCTGCATCCCGGCCCCTTCTCCGAGGAGCTGGTGACAGTCCGCGTGGCGGCTCACAACCATCGCAGAGCTGTGCGCTCTGTCACCTGGACATCTGAGAACGCATCACGTTAGCTCTGGGGCAGTGGCACAGTGTCCACTCCCAAGAAAGGGGGTGGCCCACTCTTGTGTTCTGTGCTCGTGTGTTGCATCATGAAATGGCATCTGTCTCCCGTGGCCCTGGTGTCCCCTGCTGACCTCCTGGCCCTCTCCCACAGGTGGTTGCCACAACAGCCTTAAGCCCGTGGGCAGCAGCCCCGCCATCGCCATCGCCGCCGCTGCCGCAGCCATGGTCTCCGTGGACGCTGAGGGACTTGGGGGCCCGTCCCCCTCCAGCGCGCAGCCCTGCCACTTCCTGACGCTGGCACCCATCAAGATACCCCTGCGGACTGTCTCCTTCCCTGGTAAGCGAGAGCACGGCCTTCAGAGCTTTGAGTCGGTTCCAGAATCCACAATAAGGAGCATGAGGTGGGACCAGCCACCCGCAGGCGCCTGGCTCCCTGGGTCCGTGAGCTGTGGGGCAGCCAGGCTGGCCCAGGGGCGGGGCGGGGCAGGCGGTATACAGGTTAGCTCATCACCCATCTACACATAGGGACTTGGGTCCATTCAACAAGGTTTTGTTAAGTAGGCCCGGGCATTTTCTGCCACAGGGCAAAGCTCCCAGTTTCCTTTTGAGAAATGCCACGGCCCTTGCTAACTCGTTAGGGGAGGGGACACGTAGGGGACAGGGCACGGCACCGAGAAGTTTGAGATTTTCTTACCAGAACACGAAGGGAGGCAGAGGCAGCGTGCCAGAAGGCAGCCAAGCATCTCGGTCAACACAACACGAAACGTACACCGTGGGTCTCGTCTGGGCTCTCGGCGCCTGGGAGCCACCTGGCCTTGCAGCGGGGCCTGTCCCGAGCACAGGGTGGGGTCTGCCCACCGCGGCAGGAGCTCTGTGAAGCCCTCCGGAGCCTGTGGGCGTGACTGACGGGCCGGGATGGCCACAAAGGCGTTCAGTCCGGGCGTCGTTGGGGGTGTGTGTGTCTCTTCTGAAAAGTCCTCAGGTGGCTCAGGGGGCGGGCATCCTGGTGTCCTGCACGGTGCCCGATGCCCGATGCCTGCGGGGGGTTCAGGAGGGAAGTGGGAGGCCCGGTCCTGATGGGTGGCGACTCCGTTGTCCACACGTGTTCACAGCATTCATGGGCGTCTGTGGACTGTGACCACGACGGCATGTGTCCAAGCCGTCCTGTGAACGCACGGTCAGGTCCCTTCCTTGCACGTAGCAAAAGCCACATCTCCTGGGCAAGTGCTCTTTGATTTTAGCTTTCTGTGTGATTCCATAAGACAAACGGAAATTCTGCAGAGTTCTAATATTAATTCTACCCTGGAGATAATGCTAGAATTCTTTTTAAAAAACTTATGTTTTTATTGATTTTAGAGAGGAAGGGAGAAGGAGAGAGAGATAGAAACATCAATGATGAGAGACAATCATGGATTGGCTGCCTTCTGCATGCCCCCTACTGGGGATCGAGCCCACAACCCAGGCCTGTGCCCTGACTGGGAATCGAATCATGACCACCTGGTTCAGAGGTCGATGCTCACCCACTGAGCCACACCGGCTGGGCTAGAATTCTAGTACTAGTATCATTAGTTGCTTGGTTATCAGCAATAACAAATATCACTAGATTGTTACCTGTACGAGTTCTAGATAGAAAGGGAGATAGCCTGGCTGTCTCCAGTGTGGGGAGTGCTGCCTTGCTCACCTGGTTTCTGGTAACTCTAACGTGGCCTTCTCAACACGGGCCGCCGGCTTCCATATTTCTCTGCCGGGTTGATAAGTTAGTTAGTTAGCTGGTCAGCAGAACATCGTACTTTCCAGAACAAAATCTTACGCCTATTTCGGCATGTTACTGAGCATGCATTTGGGGTGTGACGGGGAAATGAGTAAACCACAGAGATAATCTCTTGAGTGGAACATAATTTACAGCCGTGTCAAGATTTTGGTTCAGATCCATCAATCCATTGGCGCTTATTAAGGACGACTTACTGTGTTTCAAGGAAGTTACTCTTAGAACCGAACACCATGGCACCAGGAGGAGCTTCATTCCTGGGTCTCTCATGGGATTTATAAAGTAGATCTCATCAGGCATCTCTCCGTGCTGCATTTTGTAAGGCTCTGTAATCACATTTGCCATAATGTGCCTTTGGGTAGAACCCAGACAGGTCTCGGCTTTATCTCGTAGATAACCGCCCAGACGCTGCCAAAGAGAAGGGGGGGGCGGGTGCGCGGGCTCAGGCGGCTTCTAGAATGGCCTTTACAGTATTGGCCTTGGTCTAGTTCCTGGAAACCTGGCTTTACTGAGGAGGCACCTGGGTGAAGCTGAAATGCAGGCTGGAGGCTGGGTCTGGACCAAGGACCCCAGCCAGGGGGTGGTCCCAGGGCTCCGGGGCCCATCCCCAGCATCAGGGGTGTCAGGTGCCCCCAGTGAGGGGGTCTTCGGGCGATGCGACTTCCGAATAGTGTTTTCCTGGCTCTCCTCCTGGCCTCAGCGGGAGGTGTGGGAGTGAGACTGGCTGGGGTCCCGGTGACCACCTTTACACAACGTCCCCTGAGAGGCAGGGCTTGAGGGCCACGGAGGGACCAAGGGGTGTCTGTCAGGGTTGCTTCGAGCCGTCAGCCACCCCACAAACAAGATTCTGTGAGACTGAATAGTGGACCCTCCTGGTGAACATTGTCTGTGGGGTCCGGCCGCCTGCTGGGCAACCCCTGCCGCCCTGAACGTAGGTGCCTGTGTGTGCGTGTGGGGGGTTTGGGGGGGGCGGAGGAAGCGAGGGCGGCGTTGCTAGCACAGCAGAGCTCATAGACCACGGCCATGCAGCTCTCTGTGGGGTTTGCTCCGATTCAAGCTGATCTTATAAAAGCAGGTGAACTTTAATGTCGCTGCGATGAATAATCCTTTCGCACTTAGACAATCATTCCCATTTTATCCAATGAGCTGGGCAACCTCGGGAGCCCCCACGGCGCAGCTTTATGGTTCTCAGCCGGGTGGGGCTGGGGGTGTTCCCCCCGGGGCACATTTGGCAGTGGCTAGGGACATTTGGGGGGGGTTGCTATTGGGATGTAATTCTAGTGGGTAGAGACCAGTGGATCCGCCCCACATTCTACAGTCCCCAGGACAGCCCCCCATGGTGAAGAGCTATCTGGCCCCAAATGTTAGCGGTGCCTGTCGGGACACGGCGGTGTGTATTCTAGAATTCCACGTCGACGGTGGGAACCAGTATTGGGGTGTGGACGGTCTGCCCTCATCGGGAGAGTCAGTGACCCAGTAAGTGAAAGGCTTGGAAGGAAGTAGGCGGGGAGCTGGGAAGGCCAGCCATGTTACACGAACATTACACGCCTGTAGTGTGACTTAGAGTCCAAAGAGGGCACATGTTGAAAGAACCCATGGCCCGTTCCAGTCTCCAATCAGCGGTGCTTCCTCTGCCTGAGTGGCCGGCACCTGCAGCCAAGTTCGTCCCTGCGGTTGCTCTTCTCAGGGACCGTGCTTTCCTGGCCTCCTGCTCACCTCAGCCTATTCACACCTGTCCCCGCCCTAGGCTGTCAGTCATCTGCTGGCGGGCTGCCCCGGGCACCCGGGTTGTGCTCACACAGCAGCTCCACGCGTGACTCCACGGCAGCTTCCCGGCTCCCGTGACCACTCTCCACTTTGTACATCAGCAGGTTGTGTAACCTATTCGACTTCACAGAATTTCCTTTTTTTTTTTTTTATTCCTCACCCGAGCATATGTTTTTATTGGCTGAGAGAGAGGCAAAGAGAGAGAGAGAGAGAAACATCGATGTGAGAGAGACACATCGATCAGCCAGCTCCTGTACGCACCCAGACCGGGGATAGAACCTGCACCCTGGTGTGTGCCTTGACAGGGACTGACCCCATGACCTTCCAGTACACGGGACAGTGCTTAACCCACTGAGCACACTGGCCAGGGCCACAGAATTTCGAATGCTCCCTCTCACAGGTCTGCTCCTATCTGAGGGGTGGTAGCAGGAGGCGGGCACAGCAGGGTTGCCTGCAGGTGTGGGCAGTGACGGGGGAGCTGGCCGGTGGGGGATGGGGGCAGCGGGCACCTCCTCTCCCTTCTCCTCAAGCAGGTCTCAGCGACACAGCCGTCCTCATTTCTGACCGTTCCCTTAGCCTTAGCACTTCGGGGCAAGCACCAACACTTTCGGGGTGAAACGTATCCGGCACCCTGTGCATTTCCTGGTGTGTAAGGAGGAGGTGAAGTTTACCGAGGGGAGAAAGTCCTGCAGGAGGGTTTGTCGCAGAGCAGGGCCCGCTGTCCCCCTCTCTGGGTGGGTCCTCAGACTCGTCATGTTTTTGTTGTTGTTAATCCTCGCCCGAGAATATTTTTCCATCGATTTTTAGGGCAAGTGGAAGGGAGGGGGAGAGACAGAGAGACAGAAACATCGATGTGAGAGAGACACGTCGATTGGTTGCCTCTTGCACACACCCCAACCAGGGCTGGGATTGAGCCTGCAGCACGTGCCCTTGACCGTAATGGAACCCAAGAACCTTCAGGCTGCAGGCTGACGCTCTACCCCTGGATCCGCTCGGGCCAGACCCGCGTCTTGAGTGTCCACAGGCGTCCTGGCCCAGGTGCCGGGTGGGCGCCGCCTGCGGGAGGCAGTGACGTCACCTAGGCGAGCCTGGGGGTAAGAGTGACGGGGTTATTTTAACCCTCTGCCCACCATTCCGTCAGCGTCCAGGAGAAAAAGGGCGGAGGTGGGGGGAGTGGCAGCCACCGTGGAGTCATTACCACGCAGTGCAGCACAGCGAGGAGGCAGCGCCATCTGCCCGGGGAGCCGCTCGCCACCTGTCCTCGGCTCCAGGGCGAGTGAGTGGATGACTGTAACTTCCTGTCCCGCCACCGAGCAGCTGGGCGTGACTGTGCTTCCCCCTCTCAGTAACTCACCCACGGAGCCACCGCGTCAGGAAGTCCCCGTGCCAGGACCCGCGGGCGCAGCCGATCCGGGGCTGTCGCCGCCTCGTTGGAGAAACCCGTGGGTGGGCAGCAGGCGCCAGGGCTGGTGGATGCAGCCTCTTCCTTTTTTTTTTTTAAATCCAGGAATTGTTTCCTCCTCCACTGCAATGAAGAATGTCATAATACATATTAACATTTCAGAGAGGCTCAGCGACAAAAATAGCGCCGCAGCACAATTACTTACACTCCAGAGTCGGAGGCTCGGCTGGCTTCTGTGGGGGAGACATCTGTGTGTCTAATACAGGGGTTGCGCAGCTCTCGGGAGGAAAAATATTGGATTTAAACAACCTGGGAAAAAAGACTTCGTCTAGTTTGTTTCCACAAATGAACTCCTGTTAAGGGTGTGAGCTCCGCGTGGCCACACGGGCGCTGCCACACT